GATGAACTCCCCAGGTCGGTAGGTGCCCAATATGCTGCTGGAGATCAGTGGAGAAATAACTCCAGAAAGAATGAAGAGACAGAGCCAAAGTGAAAACAACTCCCAGCTGTGGATATGACTGGTGATACAGGTAAAGTCCAATGCTGTAAAGATCAATATTGCATAAAGAAAGCTATGACAAACCTAGAGAGCATATTAAAAAGCAGAGACATTACTTTGCCAGCTAAAGTCCATCTAGTCAAAACTATGGTTTCTCCAGTAGTCATGTACGGATATTAATAAAGGATATAACATATCACCAACTTGGAAGACCAAATATTATAAAAATGTCACCTATCCCCAATTTGATATTAAAATTTATTTTAGACAAAATCATAATACCAGAAGCAATTTTTGGATTCCATTCTTTGTATTTTTTGGAGAAAACTGATGAACTGATACTAGAACAGACTTTTGGACTCTATGGGAGAAGGCGAGGGGGGGATGATCTGAGAGAACAGCATCGAAACATGTATATTATCAAGTGTGAAACAGATCACCAGTTTCAGGTTGGATGCATGAGACAAGTGCTAGGGGCTGGTGCACTGGGAAGACCCAGAGGGATGGGGTGGGGAGGGAGGTGGGAGGGGGGTTCAGGATGGGGAACATATGTAAATCCATGGCTGATTCATGTCAATGTATGGCAAAAACCACTACAATATTGTAATTAAAGTAATTAGCCTCCAACTAATAAAAATAAATGGAAAAAAATAATAAAATTAAAGTGGAAATGCGAAGGACCAAGAAAAGCCATAATAATCATGAAGAATAAACACAATTAGAGAAATTGCACTGCTCAATATCAAGACTTACTAGAAAGTTGCATAATTAAGAGTGTACAGAATTGGCTCTGAGACAGACAAAAAAATTAGTGGAGCATAATAGAAAACTCAGGAACAAATTCACACGTATGTGAAAAATGTATTTATCTTAAAGTGGCTTTGCAAAGTCATGGGAAAAGGACAGTCTTTTCAGTTATTTTTTTCTAGCTCAAATTGATTTTCATATTGGAAATTATAAATCTTCACCCTTTCTTTGAAACATCTATTTCATACAACAATCAGATTAATGTCACAGGAGTTATGGAGTTGATAAAAAATACTTTAGTAAGTCTAAATTTTATTGATCATAAATAGTAAAACTTAAACTAAAGATAAAATGTATATGAAATTGGATATTATTAACATATTTTTGACTAATTAATTATTAAGAACAAAATTTAAATTAGAATTATTGAAATATTTATAAATGAACAAAGGATCCCATACCTTAAAATTGGGAGATATAGTCAGAGGTGCTTAGAAATATGAAACCAAATATACTAATTAGAAACCAAAAAAAATTGAAAACAAATGAAGAAGGATAAAATAACAACACAAAAAATCAAAGTAAAAATAACCTTAAATAAATGAACAAATAAAATAGTAATAGAAATCAAGTAAACAAAATATTAGTAATGATAATTCTTTTCAAAGGTTTTTTCCTCCAAAAGCCTAATGGAATATGAAAAATGCATCAAGCGAAAAGTAAAATTGAAGACTAAAGACCTTATTAGAAATAGCACAGACATATTGGAAATACTGTAGAGACTTTTAATTATAGGAAAGCAGGAATGACTATGTACCACTAAGTTTGAATGCATATTAATGAAAAACATTTTAGAAAAATATAAGTGATAAAAAGCAGACTCCGTAAGAATATTGTCAAGATCATTGAGCACTTTTAAATATACAATTGATTTTGCCTTGCTGTTATTGTAATTAGGAATTTTAAACCTATAACTTAAAAGAGAAAGAGATTTCCTCTCTTGGTATTATCTCTGTAAGGTTTTCTTTTTAACCAGTCAGGATTATAAGAGTTTCATAAATTCTTAAAATACTTTCAGCATTCATCTCACTAATTTCTGGATGTCTTCTTTTAATCACCCCAGATAATCTGATGTCCATTCAGGTTGAAGAAGCACTGCCATGTAGAGTGACCTCTTCCCATTCCTTCTACACAAACCTCCCTCAGCCCAGCCCCCATCAACTTCAAAATTCCACCAAGTTAAACAGGCACGTTTTTTCAACCATTTTATTCCCGTTGCCACTTGGAATTAAATACAACTGAATAATATTATCAGATATTTTATTAACTACACCATGCAATGTATTTCATGCTCTACATATTTTGTTTTTTCCTAAGAGAAGAAACAGGAAGATGTTGATTAAATAAAGCTCCAGGCCTGGGGCTCTTTGAAGACAAATCTGATTACCAGGTTGTGTGGAGGTTGACTTCCATTAAGTCCCAGGCATTTTCCTGTTCATTTTAAACTCTTTTTTTATTATAAAAACTTTCAGACATTTACAGAGGTAGACACAATAGTATTTTTGACACTTACAAATCCATTATCCAGCTTCAACATCAATCAGCTCATGGCCAATCTTGCTTCATCTACATACACTTGCTCCTATTCTTCTTCCCCGTGCTGTTTATATATAAATTTTAATTTTTAATTTTTAAACAATTTCCAGCTTTATAGATGTGTAATTCATGCATAACATTATTAAAGTGAACAATATGATAATTTCAGATACATATTTTTTTGTGAAAGGATGATCACAGTAAGGTTAGTTAACACATTCATCACTTCACATAATTATGATTTTTGAGTGTTTGGTGTGAATATTTGAGTTCTACCCTCTTAGCAACTTTTAAGTATGTGACACAATATTGTTGATTGTAGCCACCTTGCTCTGCATTATCCCCACAATTTATTCATCTTATAACTGGAAGTTTGTATCCTTTGAACATCACCTCCCCAATTCCCTCAACCCCCAGCACCTGACCACTACTATTCTACACTCAATTTCTGTGAATTTGGCTTTTTCAGATTCCACATATAAATGAGATTTTATAGCATTTGTCTTTCATTACCTGACGTTGAACTTAGCATAATTCCCTCCAAGTCCATCCATATTGTCACAAATGGCAAGATTTCCTTTTTTCTGTGGCTGAAAATATTACATTGAGTGTATGTGTGCACCATATTTTCTCCATTCATCCATCCACGGACTCTTGGGTTGTTTTCATGTCGTGGTTATTGTGAATAATGTAAATAGTGCTGCTGTGAATATAAGAGTGGGCTTCCCAGGTGGCTCAGTGGTAAAGAATCTGCCTGCCAATGCAGGGGACAGAGGAGACATGGATTCGATCCCTGGGTCAGAAGATTCCCCTGGAGGAGGAAATGGCAACCCATTCCAGCATTCTTGCCTGGGAAAATCCCATGGACAGAGAAGCCTGGCGGGCTACAACACGTGTGGTGGCAAAGAGTCAGACACAACTTAGCGACTGAGCATGAACATAACAGTGCAGATAGCTATTTGAAATAGTGATTTTATTTCCTTGACTATACTCAGAAGTGAAAAGTTGGATTCTAAAAATATATGGAACCACAAAAGACCCTAAATAATCAAAGCAATCCTGAGAAAGAGAAACAAAGCTGCAGACATCATACTTTTCAATGTCAAACCATATCACAAAACTATAGTAATAAGAGCAGCATGTTACTGGCATAAAAACATACGTAGACCACTGAAACAGAACTGAGAATCTAGAAATAAACTCGTGCGTTTACAGTCGACTAATATCTTACAAGGGAAACAAGAATACTCAGTGATAAATTGTGTAGACAAAACTGGATATCCACATGCAAAGAAAGAAGTTGTACTCCTATCTCACACTGCTTACAAAAAATAACTAGAAATGGAATTTTTAAAAAACCCCTAGAAGAAAACATAGAGAAAAACCTCCTTACCATCAGTCTTGGCAATAATTCTCTTGGATAGAACAGCAGAAGCTCAATCAACAAAATCAAAAATAAACAAGTGAGACTACATTTAAACTAAAACTTTCTGCACAGCAAAAGCAGCAATTGACAAAATTAAAATTCTACCTAGGGAATAGGAAAATATTTGCAAACCATCTATATGATAAAGGGTTAATAGTCAAAATGCATAAGAAATTCATACAACTCAATAGAGAAAATACAAACAACCCAATTTAAAAAATGAGCAAAGTACTTGAATAGACACTTTTTCCAAAGAAGACACAAACGACCAAGGAGTAAATGAAAAGATCCTCAACCTCACTAATCATCAGGAAAGTGCAAATGAAAACCACAATGACTTATCACCTCACACATACTTGAATAGCTTTTTTCAAAAGGATGAGATAAATGTGGAGAAAAGGAGTGTGGGAATGTAAATGGGTGCAGACACTATGGAAAACATGGAATATCCTCAAATAATTAAAAATAGAACTGCCAGCCATTTTCAAAAGTGAGTTTGTCAGGTGAAAGTCCATGCAAAGCTTATGTCAGAGGGGAACTGTGGATGCAGTGCTCCATCTTTAGTAAAGCTGTCACTCTTTGCAACACCCAGAAGTCTCCAGGGCTTCCTCGATGGCTCAGTGGTAAAGAACCACCTGTCAATGCAGGAGACTCAGGTTCAATCCTTGGGTCGAGAAGATCACCTGGAGAAGGAAATGGCAACCCACTCCAGTATTCTTGCCTGGGAAATCCCATGATCAGAGGAGCCTGGTAGGCTACAGTTCATGGGATTACAAAGAGTCTTACATAACTAAGTGACTAAATAACAACAGAATCATCCATGAGAAAGTGATAGTGGTATGTGGCCTTCTAAAATCCCCAAATGATCTTCCAGAAGGAAAGACCCAGGGTGAGCATTTTCTGCACTGGATCCAGCATCCATCAGTCACATAAAGGTGAGTTTTGCCCCTTTTCTAAATGACCACACTTGCCTCTGTTCATAGAAAAGAGAGATGGCTTGTGGTCATCAAGTGGACACGTTGACAAAACAGAGGACGCCCAAGAGAACAATGAGTTCAGAAAATAAAATCAAAACAAAGTTTCTGTGGCAGACCTTAATGATTCTCCTCACTGATTTCCTTAGGTCCTCAAACTATTTTGGGGTGCCCATTTCTCCCTCTTTCTTTGCCTTATAAGGTCTCACCTGAGACTCTTCCTTGGTTTTCCGGAGCTGCTTTGCCTGGAAGTATACAAGTCAAAGACTTTAGGGTTTATGGTGGTGACCTGGAGAGACGGGCACTCTTCACCCACCTTCACTACCAACTCCCTGAAGCCTGGAGCCAAGTGACGGGTGTGCGAGTATGAGATGCCAAGAAACTGAAAGGAGATCAACTACAATATATAATTTATACCCAAGATCCCCTCTGTGGAATCAGGCTGAGGCTGGAGTTTGACTTGTAAATATCATCTTGCTTGGGCTCTTCCTCCTTCCTTTTTCCTGTTCTGTTTCTGTCACTCCCTTACTGGTTTTTCTTGGTAACACATTCAAACATGAATTGTTTGCATAAGTTTTCTTCTCACAGGTTGCTTCTGGGGAACTCAGTCTAGGAAAGTTTCTGACAGAAGCTTACACATGTATAAAAATTGATATAAATACAATAGTGTCAACTCATATTCAGTCCACCGATAGTCAAAAGCCCTGAGCTCTGCATTATACAGAGTAATGCTGACTCAATATCCCCTCAAGGAACTTTGACGGTGGTGATGAACACAGGACAGGAACACAGATCATTACAACATAAAGTACCAAGTAGGATTCCAGAGTCTTGATGGCCTGGATATTCCACGTCCTTCCACTTCCCCATTTCTCTTTCCAGTGTCGCACTGATGTGAATCAGCTGGGGAATAAGATAAAAATTACATAATAGCAATGGAAAATAGTGGAGATTCATACCACAGGACTGAAACTACAGATGAAAGTGAAAGAGAGCAGCCATTTGCCACAAGCAAGGTTGTGTCCTTCTAGGCAGGAAGGACATGGAGACAATTCCACACCCGTCCCTCCTAGCTTTTCACCAGGATCACAGTGTCTCATGGTAATTTTCCAGGCTGGGAAACAAGGAGAGAAGAGGAACAAAGTCATGTAGCAAAACTCACCAGGACAAGGGTCTTCTCTCACATACAACCGGGGACATAGGATGGCTTTGATTGACACTATGGACATGAGGAAGAATTTCTTCAGGGGAGGAATTACAAGACTCCTTCCACAGTCTCTATGGGGATCCGTCTTCATTATCAACATCTAACGCACTTGAACATCTAACATTGTCAGCATCTAATAGCTCTGAAGTTGATAAGATAGAGAAATACCACTGGGTATATGACAACTTTCAGGCACAGGTAACCAAACTGAGCACTCGGAGCAAACGGGACACAGGCAGACAGAATCTCTGAGAGGAAAAGGAGAACACACTTCAAAAACAGAACCAAACAAGCACAGCCCTTCCTTGTGTTCTGAAGGCTCAAGTTTTCGTCTTGCTTGGGTTGAAGGTGGTAAATATACACATACTGCTTCATTCTTGACATTAGTGGAGAAATACAGGTTTGCTTTTTAAAATAAAACAAACAGAAGAAGGCTTGAAATAGGATTAGTGAAAGTGAAAGTTTCTCAGTCATGTCCTACTCTTTGCAACCCCAAGGACTATACAGTCCATGGAATTCTCCAGGCCAGAATACTGGAATGGGTAGCCTTTCCATTCTCCAGTGGATCTTCCTAACACAGGGGTCGAACCCAGGTCTCCCACATTGCAGGCGGATTCTTTAGCAGCTGAACCAGCAGGGAAGCCCAAGAATACTGGAGTGGGTAGCCTATCCCTTCTCCAGTGGATCTTCCCAACCCAGGAATCAAACTCAGGTCTCTCACATTGCAGGCAGATTCTTTACCAGCTGAGCTACCAGCAAAATAAGATTAATCACTTCCAAAACAATACAAAAGCCAGAAAGGAGATAATGCTGTGTTATGCTGTGCTTAGTCACTCAGTTGTGTCCGACTCTTTGCGATCCATGGACTGCAGCCAACCAGGCTCCTCTGTCCATGGGATTTTCCAGGCAAGAAAATTGGAGTGGTTTGCCGTTCCTTCTCTAAAATGAATGAATGAATGGGTAAAGATGTAGTATGTACATAAATGGAATACTATTCAGCCATAAAACAGAATGAAATAATGCCACTTGTAGCAAAATGGACAGACCTGGAGATTATCATATTAAATGAGGTAAGCCAGATGGACAAATATTATATCACTTAGAATCTAAAAATGATAATACAGATGAACTTATACACAAAACAAATAGAATCACAGACATAAAAAACAAACATGGTTACCAAGGGGGAGAAGGGGCGGAGAGAAATTAGGAGTTTGATATTAACATATACATACTACTCTATATATAAAATATATAACCAGCATATAAAACAGCATATAAATATAAAACTCAGCAAAAGAGATTTTCCTAAATAGAAATGTATAGGCCATAGTCTATGGCAACATAAGCATACTGCAACAAAGCAGAAGACCTACTGTATAGCACGAGAGACTACATTTGATATTTTGTAATAACCTTTAAGGGAAAAGAATCTGAAAAACAATATATCCATATATATAACCGGATCACTTTACTGTACACTTAAAACTAACTCAATATTGTAAAACCACAGCATTTTATTAAAAAAAAAAGTTCAATCAACAAAGCTTAAAATAACACAGCAAGAATGAAGTCATTGCATCCATTATCCATAATAAGTGTGAATTTGTTATGAAAACAAAACTGTCAAAAGCTTAAAATAAAACAGCAGATTAGATTATACCAGGAAAATGTAAGCAAAATGCAAGTTATAGTGGCTACATTATAATAATAAAGTGGAATTCAAGGTAAAAGGCAGAAAGTTGGGATATTACAGAGTACTGAAATACATCACAATGATGGTGAACTTATGAACTCTTAGAAAGAATTTTAACAAAAGTCCCTCAGAATTTGCTGTGACAAGGAGATCATAAACAATAACATAAGACTAAAGTGTATTAGATGGCATCATCGACTCAATGGACATGAGTCTGGGTAAACTCCCGGGAGTTGAGCAAGGAGGCCTGGCGTGCTTCGGTTCATGGGGTCGCAAAGAGTCTGACACGACTGAGCAATTGAACTGAACTGAAAGTGTATATCAAGTGAGTTTAATTACACATTTTTTTCTACTGTACACAAAATATTGATTATGTGGTGATGGTGATTTAGTCACTCAGTCACGTCCAACTCTTTGCAACCCCATGGACTGTAGTCTGCCAGGCTTCTCTGTCCATGGGATTTCCCAGGTAAGAATACTGGAGTGGGTTGCCATTTTCTTCTCCAGGGCATCTTCCCAAGCCAGGGATCACACCCAGATCTCTTTCATTGCAGGCTGTCTCCTGCATAGCAGGCGCATTCTTTACTGACTAAGCCACCAGGGAAGTTCACTGATTATTTAAAACTCAGCAAAAAAAGAGTTTCCTAAATAGAGATTTATAGGCCATAGTCATTAACCATGCTACAACAAAACAGGAAATTACCAGCAAGAAAACAGCAATTTTTTAAAAAAAAATTGAAACATCACTCTTTCAAATAACTTCTGTTTCTAAGGGAAAATCAAATTTGAAGTAAAAATTATTAATAAATTCATAATTGACTACAATAAAAACATAGCATAGCAAAATCTATAATTTATATAGGTGAAGGAATTCCCTCATTTTAAAGGTCTTTCATTATTAAATAAAAAGACTGAGAATAAATAAAATGTGTCAAGATCAAAAAGTTAAGTGAAGGAAAACAAAAACTAGGGATAAATTCGTAAAAGTAAAAACAACATATTGTGAGTTAGAAAACAACAAAAATTATTATATTTAGAAAGTTTTCAAAGCAGAATTAATGGAAGAAACCAGTAAAATGACAATTTTCTAGTAAATTATATCAGAGAAAAAAAGAGAGAACAGAATTTAAAAGCCACTAAAAGCAGACCTTAAAGGATATCTCAAAATTATAAGACAACTCTATGATTGGCAGATGTTAAATAATTTTAAAGTCTCCTTGATTTTAATGAAAAACAAAATTTGAATGGATCAATAACTGAAAAACACTTAAAACTGGTCCCATTTGATGGCACTAGTGTAAAATATTTTTTTAAGTAAACCTTTAAAGATTCAATAATTTTTATGCTATCACATTTTTAGAGCACAGAAAGATAAGGAGCATTTCCTGATTATTTTTATTGTTGAATACAAACATCAAAATATTATAAATGTACTGAAAATAAAACCACAGACCCAATAAATTTGAAAACAAGTGTGTTTCTCAATAAATTACATTAACAAACCAAAGCCTATATTTCATGATTTAAAAAAAAATTGTGCTGTAAGGTCATATTTGTTTTCAATTCCATATAAATATTTGAATCCACCTGTTACAAATTATTTTTAAAAAATCTTGTCTAAATAGGGCTTCATTCAATTTGTAAATTACCTGTGGCAAAGTGATTTTTAAAGATAATATTAGATCTATTCTACTCAGGTGGTCTTTGCATATTCCTCAATAGTTTTCTAATTTACTTCACATGGGCTATGCAAAGTTTTGTTAGAATTTTCCCCAGGTATTTTCAAGTCATTTCTGTACTTGTAATTCATTCATTTTAATTCATTTTCCCTTATGATTTCCAAGTAATAGTACTATTACTGAAATTTACTGAGGTTTTTATGCTGGTCTTGAGTTCAGCCACCTAACAAAATTTGTTATTCTTGTATGATAGTTTTGCCATCTAAATTAAGAACATACAAATATCTATTTTTGTTGTCTAATATTCTCATTCTTATTTCATTGAGTGAATTGTATAACTATATAGATTCATTTTATGGGAGTAAGGATGTTTCCTTCTATTGTTAGCTTACTGAGCAGATTGTGTGTGTGTGTATGTGTATATGATTAAAAATGTCTCTGGGCTCTATTATAAAGATAATCCCTGTGGCTCTTATCCTTCTGTGTGCTAAACAGTGAATTTCATTGTTTTCCTGATGGGCAAAAATTATTATACAGCAAAGATAGTAAGGGAGAAGACTTAGTTATCAGAATGCAGGATTCTTTTAATTCACCCCAACATTCAATTTTATAAGTGCACTACTTTTGAGTTTTGCATATATTTTTGAGATTGGCCAAGATTGG